TGTTGACTTAAATCTGAAAGAACACATCCATTCATCCATCTTCTCTTCAATCTGCTGCCCCGTCTTTGACCTTTTCCTTCACAAAAGCTTTTTGGAACTACTGGTCTTTAGACATCCAATTTGAAGCCTTTCTGCTCTTCTTCTGTTAGACCCTCTGATGTGTGAGTTTGTCACACTGTATTTTAGACATTTCTAATACTCTTAGAGATGCAGAAAGCTTGAATTTGACCTTGTCAGTTGCTTTTATTAATGGAGCTTAATTTCTTAATGCAAATCTTAAGCAGGATACAGTTTGGTCTGTTTTTTTTTTTTTTTTTTAAATTCCCCTTACTGTGACCACATACAGAGATGAATGTTTTGGACTGATAAAGAACATATGTTTTTTTTCATCTTCATTTTGACCACAGTTTGGAGGCGATACAATGTTATACTTTTTGTTATACAAAGAGCAGTATTATTTGATGCTGATATCCTGAATGTAAAGCCAACACACTAGGATCAGCACTACTGTGTGTTCCTTTTGGGACAATCAAACACTATGCAAGCACACCAAATTAAAATGACCCATATATATATACACACACACACACACATATACACACACACACACACACACATACACACACACACACACACATTTGACCCAGAGGAAGTCAAAGCCTACAATAAAGCATGATTCAACATACTCCAACAGGGGAAAAAAATCCTTCCTGCAAAAAAAGCAATCGATATTCCCCGGATCAACAAAACTAGTGTTAATGCTACTGGAAGACTGCATCATATATATAATTTGTAATTGTTCCTATAGTCCCACTTTACACTTATCTCACAGATAAATTATATTTAGTGGGCTTGTGATTAGCTGTCAAGTCCACCACCTATTAATTACATGTTCTGTGTGAGCAATGTTGTTTTTTTTTTTTTTTTACCCTTCCAAAAGCACTACTGCTTCATCTTCATCACGGCAGGGCTTTACAAGAGGAAAATGCAATCATTACTGCGTTCCTTAACCCCTTAATTACAATCTACCTTCCCTCCAAGGCAGATCTCCAGAGCCGTTTAGAGCTAACTTCCATTCATCATGTGTTGTTTTGCTTCAGGTTGTAAATGGAAGTAGTGTGAATCCCTCGCAATGCTTTATTCAGTGACCTTTCTGCTTCTAAGACAATGGAGATTTGAGCAAATAGAGTGTTTTGTTCTCCCCTCCTGACAAATCCCCTCTTACATGGGGGAAGTAATATACTTGGAATGATCACTACCACCATTCCCACAGATGTGCCATATCCCATGTGAAGGATTTCTGTTGCCAATGGCAAAGTGCTTTGGGCTGTAGTTTTTTAATAACCCTACGAGGAAAATTGTATTTCCAGAGACATAAAAGCTTTAACAAAAGTAAGAAAGTAAAAGCACTATGATGCCAATGGTACAAAGCAATAAGCATGAGGAGTTATTTTCAGTTGATGGCATTACAGCAAAGAGTAAGGCTACCCCATGGTATGTCATATAATAATGCATTCAGTGAGCAATACTATAAGTTTAACCCTTTTGCTGCCAGGCCTTGCTATCCATTTATAACCTCTTTTTTTTTTTTAATCATGTTTTACTTGCAGCTTTGACAGTTTGTAAAATATCCCCTGAACCACAGGGAAGCACAGGACCCATAGTATAAAAAAAGGTGTTGCTGAGTTTATACTAGACAGGTGCAATTAATTTCATTCCGAATCAAAATTTGGACAAATTATCCAAAAATCAGACATTCAGACACATCCGAACTTCCGAATCCCAATTGCGGATGCCGTCCCAATTTTGTTCAAAAACTAAACTGAATCGGACATGTGACTTTTCTGGCCAATTAGATGTGTTTTTCGGGTATAATGCATCCGCATGGGTCTGAAGACGAATTTGCGTTATGGCAACATGGGTGCCATATACAGTATATACATATAATACTAAAGGCGAGGCTCCCAGACCCAAATGGCATTCGGGATCTGAATTTCCGAATTGCATTGGGGAGCTCCTGAATGCCATTCGGGTCTGGGAGCCTCAGCTTTAGTAATATACTGTATACTCCCATTATACTGTACAATGTATACTGCTCCCAGAACCGAATGGTATTCAGGAGCTCCCAAATGCAATTTGGAGATTCGGATCCTGAATGCCATTCGGGTTTGGGAGCCATACACATATATTACTAAAGCTGAGGCTCCCGGACCCGAATGGCATTCGGGAGCTCCCGAATGCAATTTGGAAATTCGGATCCCGAATGCCATTCAGATCTAAGAGCTTCAGCTTTAGTATTCATATCTGTATATGGTTCTCTGTGATGTTCGCAACAAATATTCGTAAACTCATCCAAAACACAAACCGAGTGGAATTTCGGATCCGAATCCCGAAATAACGAAATATCCGAACCAAACCTACTTTTTCCGCAGCTTACATGTCGAGTTTATACATTAAATGTACATAAATGTTTATTAAAACAATATCTTCTATAAAAATACACTATGATTGTTAGCACACACAAACACAGTGTAACCTACACAATTCCCACTAAATCTAAAAGATACAATTCTATGGGGTCAATAAATATTAAATAACATATATTTACACATACTAAATTACACCTTTTTTACAAAATGCCTGTTATTGGGATAACACAAAACTGTAAATGAGCAACTAGCTGAAAATCTGGAGGTGGGCTTCATCCCTATGTGTTGCGGTAACACCTGATCCGCAGTGCCGTGTGTTTTAGTTGGCAGCCCATTCGAAGTTACCAGGCTGCCCTAATGTAATTCATGCTAACATGCAACACAAGGCATGGTGATATGTGTGCGGTAATGCAAGCCACCACAAAAGTGTGAAGGTAGCCTAAAATTTTTCATCAGGTTAGGTTAATACTTGACTGGGTTGTCAACACATGCATATCAACACATGTTATATCACAACTCCTCTATGTGTGACCAAAACCACACCTCACCTTTTTATGGAAACGTAGCACATGGCAACACAAGGTAGCGTGTTACAGCCCACTGCAGTGCAGCTGTGTTGCCTTAGTGCATTGGTGTACCAACACACATAATGTTGACACAATGTGTGCACATGTGTACATTATGTGTGTATGTAAGTTGTGTTGTGGGGGGAGGGTATTTCTGTTTTTTCTTTTCTTTTTAATAATTTATTATTTTTTGTAATTTAGTACTGTCACCATGGGGTAACCGGTCACCTGGTGACACTATGTACAATAACTGTGACCAGTCCTCTCTGGGGAAATATTGGGGATCTAAATAGAGCCCCGGTTTTCCACTTATGGGATGGAGAAAGAGAGCGAGAACAGAGTCTTCAATCTCCTTCTTCTCAGTCCAGCACTCACTTACCCTTAACCTGGAAATACTCAGTACTAAGCACTTCTGTGTTCATTCAGAAACTGAAGGGATCGGTAAACATGAAAAGCATACTGATCTCCCCACTCACTATCCTGAAGAGTAAAGCCAGTAATGAGACAGGATAGTGATCTCACCATCGGTAGAGGCAGGGGGAGAGCAGTGAGAGTTGGTGGGCACACAAGCGGCAGATAGTGGAGGGTATACAAAGCGGCAGATAGTGGATTGTGGAGGGTATACGAAGGGGATCAGATTGTGGGCAGTCAGTGGGGAGGACCCGATAATAGGCAGTGGAATGAAGGGCACACTATGGGGCAGTGGTGGCGGATGCGGGTGCTCACATTTTTTCTGAATAGCTGTGATTAACTGTTTGTCATCCACTGATCACAGCTATTCATGAACTGCCAGAGTCTAAGGGGTTCCTCTGCTGAAGCAACCATGAGCTTGTGGCTTAAGGGAATGCAGCAGACATGAGGGTTACTGAGCCAGTGTGTGGCAGACAGTTCTACTCAGACCTAACCCTTACATCTGTGGCAGTAGAATGTTTAATGGTACAGTTGAATCAATCAAAAGCTAAATCCTATTTCTAGCCTTAATTTGTAGTATTAAATAGGATGAAGATGAGCTAAAAAATTCTGCCAAGTTTAAATTTCTGTCTTTGAACTTATTGGGGTATTTTTACTTCCTTCCTCACTTCCTGTTCCTTGTGACACCGTAGGAAGTGAGCAGACTTAATGATCATGACACAGTTTTAGTGTTTGACACGTAGCATTAGCAGTGCACGTAATGCTTTCACTTGTAGCTTGGAATTGCTTTTTAATTGCCCATCAGTTTTTATTATGGGTGGTCTGAAGTCATATGTCCGCCTATTCATCAGCGCTGTTACATAGATGTTTCAACATTACTACTAGTGTCTCCTGTTGTTTCATATTACATAATAATGCAGTCTGACAGGAAAGTGGTGGTGGTGGCTGCGGGGTAGTTGGTGGGTGGTGGATGGAGGTACTTCCTTTTTTGGCCTTGTAAGGACCTTCAAGAGATACAAGAAGATGGTGGTAGGTTCAGTCCATCCAAACTTAAATATCTTTCTTTGAATATTGGTGGCTGTGAGCTGCTGTTTCAATGAATTCAGCCCTTCTCTTGAGGTATCCACAGACCTTGCCAATTGCTGTCAGATAATACTCAGCATTGATAAGAGGCTACCCCTACACATTTCTCACAACATACCGAATACAAATGTACTGATAATCCATCTGTTTCATTGTTCACCACCATCTGACTGCCATCTTTTGTTTATTGGTCAGCTCTAGGTATTGCTGCGTAATCAAATCTACAATTCTGAAAACATATACAAGGATTTTTAATAATCACTCACCAAAATTCTCATTATAATTCTTTTGCTACTGCTATATACAGTATATAGTCAGTGTACAGTATGTACTGCATGTATACATATGCAATTCCACCAAGACACCCCACCAATATTTATTTATTTGTTTTTTTGTACTTCTCTTTATTCCATTGTCTTCAGGCTGGCCATGTGATGCAGGGTCCTTACCCATTTTGCCTCTTCTCTGGCCATAGGTGGTCCCCAATGAAGCAGATATCATAGCTGACACGATGACATTAGCACAGTACTCTGCATCATTGGAGTGTGAGTAATAGGTGCTGTAGTGAGCCCCCCAGGTGCAGGCCCATGATGCTCTGCACTTGAAAGTGGATTGAATTATGCTAGTTTCTGGATAGCAGACCGGGTGAGTCCGTGGAGGACAGCACCACATAGGAGGTGAGTATTGCAGCCACAGCTGCTTGATGGGGCCCTTATTTTAATATTTTTTATAGAAAGTGGAGCTGGGCTTTAAATCTAGTACAGAACATATGACATAGCAGACACTCTTCAGTAAGCTTTGCTTCTATGACCAGTTTATACCTGTTTGTATTCATATGTTACCCTTGAGCAACAACAACTAAGTGTAGTAACTAATGCCCAAAACTGTTTGACTGCTTTAGAATAACTTCAAACTTATTTGTAGTGCTCTTCTCCTGCCCCAGAACGTTTTCTTGTTTGTAATGTATTTTCCTTGTTTCCTTTCCTAGGTATAAGTACAGAAACAGGTCACCAACTAATCACTGTGAGACGAAGTCATGAAAATATGCCAACTTGCTGTTTGTTTATTTATTGGATCACTATCATGTCTAATAGACTTATGCTGGCAACAACTCCAAGCAGGAGCACCTCAAATCCAGCTGCGTTTGGCTGGGACATCGAGAGTCCCCAACGAAGGTCGCCTGGAGGTTCTGTATAATGGTCAGTGGGGCACTGTATGCGATGATGACTTCAACCTGGAGGTGTCAAATGTAGTCTGCAAGCAACTGGGTTTTGAGATGGCAATGAACTGGGCGCACAGTGCAAAATATGGACAAGGGGAAGGTAACACAGAGGTTTTTTTGTTACAATTGTTATGGATTTATTCTTGTAATAAAATAACAATGAGTGATGTAGATTACCTAACCTATGGCAGAAACAGATCTACAGATCATTTTTAGTTGGGCTGCTGATCTGTTGGGCAAAACCCATATTCTGGTGCTGTAATAGCCACAAAACATTCTGCTTCTGCTTCTGCTAAACATACATTCACATAGACACTCATAAGAAAACTGCCTCCTGTTCATGCTTGCTACAAATATCACTACTGATTTTTATGTTTTGTTTTACTGTTGACTGGCGGAGTATATCTTTTTGTATTTTACACTCTTGACGAAAATGAGCACCTAAAAGAGAACTATGGCCCAACCTTGTAAGCCATAGTTCTCTTTAGGGTCACAGGAGGACATTTACTATATCCTCCTGTGACCCAAAACTCAGCATATAGTGGGACAGTGCCCGCTATATGGTGACAGCACAGAGCCGCATTGCAGCCGGGATGGTCAGGAATGTTGTTGGGATCCACCCCGCTGTCTGATTGACAGCTGGCTCTGCCCCTCTAGAGTTAGATCCAGCTGTGCCCACCACCTTTCCTGTCCATCCCTTCAGTCAGCGCTGGAGGAATGGAGAAGGGAGGGGTGAATCTCTGCGGGGAGTGGTGACTATCAGTCAGGGAGGAGATCAGGAACTGAGCACTGAGTGGTATGTGATTGCTCAGTTCTCGATGAATAGAGCCAATGTGTGGCAGCTTCAGTGTCACTCATTGGCTTTAATTATGGGGATGAGTGTATTTCACTCTCCCCATGATTCTCTTTTAACCCTTGCAGTGTGGGGGTAGCCACACTGCAGGGGTTACATTTTATTCTGACCAGAGTGGTTCTTTATATGGAGAAAGAAGGTTAATTAAAGATGATTAGGATAAATTAGGGGCTAAATAGAGACACATTTTTTTTAAAAAATAAAAAATAAAAAAACACAACTTTTTTGTTTTACTTGTCAGGATGTTTTAACTGACATCATAGGCAGATTGAAGCTGATTCCTTTCAGCTGCAGATTAATTAAAAGGCGCAACATTCAAAGTAACAATGTTTATAAACACTGTTCAGACAAGAGACAGAGAGATACAAAGTAACAATGTGTCAGACGGTCTGTTTTTTGACAGCAGCCTCGTCAACGGCTGATGCATTTACACAGCAACACCTGACATTCATTTTGACAGCGGGGAATTGCCAGCAAGTGCAAAGGAGGAAACAGCAGCGGGGAAGTTAATGGCTGGGAATACTACACACGCCTTTTGTACATTAATGAATTTGTTTGGCTGTGTGTAGCAAACTCGCTCGGTGTCCTCAACTGGTTAAAGAAAAAAATATAAAAGCCGCTTTTGCTGCAATACTTCCATTTAATCCATTGCTGTTTGCCACAGAAGTGCTGATTGCTCTTACATGTTGCCAGTCTTCTGGATTAAATGACAGTCAACCTCCTTCAACCTTCCTCTGAGCCCAACCTGGCATTGATGTATCATCAGACGAGCCTGGGCTTAGAGTACTACCGCATTGAACAGCATTCACACATCACTACCTGAATGCCATTCTGTGCAGCAGTAAGGGCCATCAAACACCACCAGAGCAGTAGAAGAGGGATCCATGATAAAAATTGGGAGGTCTGAAGATCTTAAAAAAAATGTTGGGGGGGGGGGACTGTAGGGAGAGGAGGAGAGCAGGGGAGTGTAGTTGATTTAATAGTAAGGTGCAGATAATAGATGATCCAAAACGAACAACCAAGGAAGCTGGCCACTACTTCCTTCTTAGAATTCCCTAGGATTTGGATGTCCTTTAGGAAGTGAGGAGTAATGTGCTAGAGGTGCCTGCTGTGAAATGTATATAGCCGCGTAGTATCCTTTGCAAGTATCCTTTGCAAAATTCTCCTCTATCTTATCAACTGTAGTTGACATTTACTGCTAACATGTGCATGTGTCATAATCAACCATCGTTTCACCCAGACGCTACAGTTAGTGCATACAAATTGTTTATAAATCATATTTCTACCTCTTTGAAATGTTAAAAAAAAAATCAGCATTAAACTTAATGAAGCTGGAACCGATAGTGATTACTGTTTATTGAAGGATAATTAAAAGGTAAAAGGTTATCCTCATCAATGCTGCAAAAAAAGGCCTATTCTAATTATGAAAACTTGATGCTCCTCCAATGTTTTCTGTTATGTCAGCTGCGTTGTGAATGGAATTAGGCATGACAGATACGCTATGTGGGTTATAGCAGTTGGCAACAGGATACTTTGTGGCAAATTTTCAATTCCTGATTGGTTTGATTGCCCATTTCACAAGGTCTGGCTGAAATATTAATACATTATAATGAAAGCTGCTGGATTTTTTTTGCCGTGGGCATGATTTTGTTAGCAAGAGTAGAATGTTGTTCTGTGCCAGTTGTTGAGGAAAGCATAAAGGGGCATTAAACTAACACCAAACTTAGGAGTTAAAACTTAAAATTAGGGATGCACTTATACCGGTATCTCAGTATCGAGTACGAGTACCAATATTTTTTTTGGGGGTACTCGCCGATACCGAATACCGATACCAGAAGTCCCATTAAGGAAGCCAGGCGTGTAAAGACTCGCCACCCAGCTTCCCGATTAGCAGGGAAGCCGCCCCCGTGTATGCTTCTCGTCACTATGTGACGAGAAAGCATGGAGCCGGATTTCTGGCCAATCAGGAAGCCGGGCAGCCATGTAATGACGCGGCACCCGGCTTCCTGATTGGCCGGGAAGCCAGCTCCATGCTCTTTTCAGCATTCTATCTATCTATCTATCTATCTATCTATCTATCTATCATACTTTCTGAAACTGAGGGTGTTTTCATGCGAATAAATTGATTTTCTATAGTATGCTGAGCATGTTCGGCTGATCCGAAGCCACACGAAGCAAGCCTTCTGTTATAAAATCGTGTCACCCTAGGCCCCAGCTCATTTTGCTATTCCAGGCTGGGCTGCAGCTCTAGTACAGTCCTATTGCTTGAATGCATCTACTGTGTTTCTGGTCAGTAACCGGAATATTTCATTACCCACTAAATCTTCACTATAAATTGTAACCAAACTTGTTGCATATTTATATTCATATACTGTATGGTGCATACACCAGCTTCATTTTGTTTTGTACCCAGCCCATTATGCGGGAATGATGTAAAAGATCCTTACGGCATATGCTTCAAAACCTTTGACACTGCTCTAAGAGCCAAATGAGGGCCCGTGCCTTTTCGTTGGTCCAGGATTCAGTTTATGAAAGTCCTTGGTGGTGGAATTAAGTATCAATACTTATTGCTCAACCCAGAATTTGCCTATAAAACAACGCATATGGTCCAAAAGGGTGCAAAACTGACTAAAGAATGATTGGGTATTGGCACATCTTTACTCCACGTATGACTTTCTGCATGTTGGATACTTTAACACACTCAACAATCACTATATGTTGCATTCAGACAGGTTTGGGTGCAGTGCTCATAACTACTAACTAGACCTGAAAATCAAGACGGCAAATAATTGTATAATTATAAGAAAAGTGTTCAGTTATCTCTTTGTTTTTAAATCTAAAACTGGTTTAGTAATTTATAATCTGCACAAATTGCAAATTCTAAAGCATTTTATTGGGTTTTGCAGGTCCCATCTGGTTAGATAATGTCCGGTGCTCAGGTGCTGAGAGCTCTTTGGCAGAATGTGAGTCCAATGGCTGGGGAGTCACCGACTGCAAGCATTCAGAGGATGTTGGCATACTCTGTTCAACAAGCCGGCTACAGGGAGCTCCACCGCCTCAGACTATCACTGCACAGGTACTTAATGCATTATGCTTCAGATTACCCTGCGCATTATTCAGCATTATTGGCAAACTTGTGACACTACAAAACAAATACAGTTACAGTATGTGCACCACAAAAAATAAATGACAGCACCCCAGTGGCATTTAGGTTTCTAACATAATCATAACATGGCATCATATTTTAAAAAATTTTCAATGAAAAAATAAGTTTGTAGCAACTACTCACCATTCATTTTCTAACTCCCATTACTGCTGAGATTGAATTAGTAGCTCTAAAATAAACTATTTGCTTTTAGACAATAATGTTAATGTTTTAGTTTAATTTACAGAATTAAAAGAACCTAATTTGCCTAGGGCAACAGACACTTTACAGCCTTACTCTTCTACAGTTTGCCTTGTGTGTGCATGTGTGTGTGTGTGTGGTGTCACATCTAGGCCAAGGTCTTGTATGTTGTATGACTGGTCTAAGACTTTTCAGCATTTTTGGACTGGTCTAAGACTTTTCAGCATTCTTGGACTGGTCTAAGACTTTCAACATTCTTGAATTGGTCTAAGACTTTAAGCATTCTTGGACTGGTCTAAGACTTTTCAGCATTCTTGGACTGCTCTAAGACTTCAGCATTCTTGGACTGATCTATGACTTTCAGCATTCTTGGATTGGTCTAAAACGTTCAGCATTCTTGGACTGGTCTAAGACTTTCAGCATTCTTGGACTGGTCTTTGACTTCTAGCATTCTCTGTTGCAACATGAATGCTGCATGAATCGTAGAAGACAAGGGGTATTTTTTTTTCTCCAAGAATGAGGTATGCTGCACAGCCCTGACTTATTCAGTGTATGGATAGCCATTTATTTTTATTTGGAGTACATGGCCAAAAGTATGTGGGCACCTCTTCAAATTATTATGTTTGGTTGTTTCAAGTGAAGGTGGTAGCACTGCTACAACATACTACAAAGACATTTTAAACCATTGTGTGCATCCAGTTTTGTGGTTTTCTGTTCTAGTATGACTGTGTACAAAGCCAGGTCATTAATGAATGTGGAGGAACTTGAGTGGCTTGCACAAAGTCCTAACCTTAACCCTAATGAACATTTTTGAGATTACTTAGAACGCCAGTTGTGAGCCAGGTCTTCTTCCACATCAGTACCTCCCCTCACAAAGGCTCTTTTGGCTGAATGGGCACACATTCCAACAGGGACACTCTAAAATCTTGTGGAAAGTCTTTCCAGAAGAGTAGAGGCTTCTATATCTGCAAACAGGGCAATGAGCTCATATAGGTGTGATGATCATATGTTGACAGAAAAAACAACAGTAGACAATTATCTATAATTTTTTGCGGTTGGATATTTAGTATGAAAATCCATTGAAGATGGCAGTGATGCCTTAAGTGTCTTGCGAGCACTTGGACATACACTCACACTCACACTCTTTCATAGGATACGTGTCAGTTGAGTGGGCATGACGTTCCTCAAAGGCCTATTTGCTTTCTGATATGTGACCTCCATTTGTTGTCTACGGCCAACTGAATGATATTTTAAAGTTGTCCAAAATGGTTGAAATATATATATATATGAGATGTGCCTTAAAAAAGTGAATAACAACAAGGTGGTCGTTGAGTTCAGGCAAGCATGAAGTGATATTTCCCTAGTGGCCACTGATGCTTGTATGTATAAGGTGCCCATTTTCTGGTTATACACTGCCTGTTTTATAGTAACCAGTTCTGTACAAATGGCCCATTCTCTGATATGCAGTTATGCATACAGTGCCCATATCCCATGTGCCAAGTTAAAAAACATAATGTTAGTAGCAATGAAAAGTTTCAGTATTGCAAACATATTGTATGCCCACTACCTGCATTACTAAAGGAATGATTTCAGTGAGTTGTTGGTATTTCATGTTTAGAAACCACCAGCTTGGCCCCATTCCCAGACTGGAATAACCGCACGAAATGTTTGACGGACTTATAAAATCAGAGACTTTGTGTATGAATACCTCTTAGTATGCCTGCCTGCATCACCTCACCCCACCCCACCTTTGCCTGATATGTTAAGATTCCAGTGGAGCTTCCTTGCCTGAGAGCATGCCAACACATTTCCACAGCTTACACTTAAATAGTATTTAATGTAGAGGAGAATGCTGTAAATGACAAGCGATGAATCATAACCTGAGTGTTCATCTATATAGGTTTATGGAAAGGGAAAATGGCAAAATTTAGCTATTTCACTAAATCAACTTAAAAAGAGTGGGTGGGTGATGGGGGGTATCAGAGCACCTTACAGGAGAGTAAAAACCTCTCAACCTAATGTACTACTATGCATAATAGATTGTATAGTAACATATTGCACTGCGCTGAATAAATAAACTATAAATGAATAAAATACCTTTAACCCTACTAGTGATATCCAAACTAATATAAAGCGCCCAAATAATCAAAATAAAAAATCTACCCTAGAACATACATTTCATAAACATTATGTTACCTTTCATAAAGGGTAGATATTTTATTTTGATTATTTGTGCACTTTATATTAGTTTGGATATCATTAATAGGGTTAAAGGTATTATATTAATTTATAGTTTATTTATTTAGCAAGGTGCATTGTTTTAATATAAATTTCAGGTTGTATATATCAGTTCATGCACAGCTGCTGTGTGTTAAGTTTAGGGTAGCCTAGACAGGGGTGCAGACTTCTCTTATTCAATGAATAGTATTGATTAGAATGCCAGCAGTTCATGAAAGTTGAATTTCAGGCAAGTGGATAGATATACTTATAGTAAACCAGTTTATCTATGGCTGTGGGGACCGCAGGTTCCGGCCGCCAGATTACAGTAGCCGTTTGGGGTGTTCCCCCATCTACACTGAATGACATAATTGAGCATTTTACCCTGCAAGCTGAAGGAGAAAAATTGTAAATTGTATTCCCAGCATAAAACTAAATAAGGGGCAAATATAATGCTTTTATACACCTTGCACAGTCATAATAATTTCATTCTGCATATTCACCTTCTTGCATACACTCAGTCATAAATTATTTTCTTTTAGACTATCCATACAGAGCCTTATATGCAAGTGATGCGACTGGACTTAGCACTTGCAGTAAATAGGCAGCATGGAGTTAAAGTAGAAGTGAAGCCTAACATTTTTTGTGTGATTTGGATAGAGTAAAGGAAGGGTTATAACTAGGGATGTTCAGATGCCAAGTACCGAACTCGGTACAAGTACAAGTACAGATACTTTTCCAGCTCCAAGACCTTACCAGAGAAAAATTCAAAAGTTAGGAGGCAGCTGTCATTTGTAAGGAGCACACGGAGCTCCTGGGATTTGTACGTCTCTTTTAATGTATGATTTTGTTTTATATAAATGTATATAGGGGATGCACCGATACCATTTTTTAAAGTACAAGTACTGATACTTGTCCAAGTGCTCACAGATACAAGTACTGATACATTTTTGTTTATTGTCATGTGACAGTTTTTCTAAAACACTACAGACTAATGATTTCAGGACAGTGGTGGAGCCCGGTCCCAGCTACAACCGCTGCAACCCTCATAGTTCTCGTGAAAATGCCAAGTATCGGCACTGGTGTCTGAATATCCCTAGTTCCAACCTCTGACAGCTTTTTTTCTGTCATCTGTGTTCCATTGGGGAGATAATGTACATTTACATTCGACTCCACAGGGACCTAACATGGGTCCGTACAGCTCAGTTTTTTCTTCCATTGCAAGATGGAGTGACATCCGCTCCATACTGCTCCGTTCAGCAGTGGAACTGTTCATGGATCATGCCGATCAGAATGGATTGTGGTCATGTGAAAAGGGCCTTACTATAGCAGCCCACACACCTTACAATTTATCTGCAGATTTTCTATGGTCAGATGGAAAGGTGCAACAGATTCCTCCATCTGCGCTAAACTGTGTGGATGGAGTAATCTCCACCTGGGCCAATTTGTTGCACTTTTTCCATCTGACCACAGATCCATCTCTCCACCTGCAGATAAATTGTAAGGTGTGTGGGCACCTTAAGACTGGAGCACAAACATGTGGAGCAACTGGGCATAGAAACCAATCAACTTCTAGTTAATTCTCAAATCTTAACTAAACAGGCTGAAGCTAGAAGCTGAATGGTTACTATGCACAGCTGCTCCAGATTCTGTCTGCTCCAGTTTTAGTAAACTCCCCTCAATGTGTTATAGAAAGTCTTCCATCCAAAGCATCCTTGGCATGTGTGTGTTTGTATTACCATGATAGGGGATTGGCAGGGACTGATGTTAATATCTCTATGTACTTTGTCAGCACTATATAAATGAGCTAAATCTGCGGGCAGCGTAAAGCAGACAAGAAATGATAAATTATACAAGTTTTTACCTGCAAAAATGTTATACCAAAGGCTTTCCTCATGAAATGAAGGTTTGTATAAATTGCAGCCTTGGTCATCACTTTCTTCAAAACCGCACAACAGTTGCTGTTTATTCCGAAAAAAACAAACAAGGAAACATATCCTAAACAATGCCACTTATGTTCCAAAAAAAAACCTTTCAGACTAGACGTCTACACGTTCATGATCTATGTTGTTTGCTTTGAAAAATACAATTGTTAAAAATGGTCGGCAAAAAGTTGAGACTGTTGAATTTGACACATTTTAGCCAAATAGCAAATTGATTCTCTCTATGATCTCTACTAAGGAAAACAAAACAAAGATTTGTATCCATAATAAAGGATTTGCCTTGTTGGCCATTCCATGAACTATACATATGTACTTTATTCTCGAAACCGCTACATATGTGGACAGATATGATGATATGATGCAGAGTAGTGTTGATGCTGATACTAAATATTAAGGAGTTATATGATGAAACAGTAGCCAGGAAGAAAAAAATATATTATTTTTTTTTGCAAAGTAATTCAAATAATTTGTAAGTAGTGGAGGCAGAAAAAGAACACACACCAGCCAGTAAGAGTGTGGGCAGTTAACACTTTGGTCTCTTGTTACCTGGCCACAAGAAATTATGCTTGACTCCAGGCCACAGGAAAACACATTTGATCCCAGGCCACAGTTAATCATGCTTGATCCCATGCTACAGGAAATCATGCTTGATCCCAGGTCACAGGAAATCATGCTTGACCCCAGGTCACAGGAAATCATGCTTGACCCCAGGTCACAGGAAATCATGCTTGATCCCACGCTACAGGAAATCATGTTTGATCCCAAGCCACAGGGAATCATTCTTGATCCCACACTACAGGAAATCATGCTTTATCCATGCTACAGGAAATCACGCTTGATTTAACACTACAGGAAATCATTCTTGATCCCACGCAACAGGAAATCATGCTTGATCCATGCTTCAGGAAATCATGCTTGATCCCAGGCCACAGGAAATCATGCTTGATCCCAGGCAGCAGGAAATCATGCTTGATCCCGCAATACAGGAAATCACGTTTGCTCCCATGCTACAGGAAATCACGCTTGCTCCCACGCTACAGGAAATCATTCTTCATCCCACGCTACAGGAAATCATGCTTGATCCCACGCTACAGGAAATCATGCTTGATCCCACGCTACAGGAAATCATGCTTGATCCCACGCTACAGGAAATCATGCTTGATCCCACGCTACAGGAAATCATTCTTGATCCCACGCTACAGGAAATCATTCTTGATCCCACGCTACAGGAAATCATGCTTGATCCCACGCTACAGGAAATCACGCTTGCTCCCACGCTATAGGAAATCACGCTTGCTCCCACGCTACAGGAAATCATGCTTGTTACCACGCTACAGGAAATCATGCTTGATACCACGCTACAGGAAATCATGCTTGATCCCACGCTACAGGAAATCATGCTTGATCCCACGCTACAGGAAATCATGCTTGATCCCACGCTACAGGAAATCATGCTTGATCCCACGCTACAGGAAATCATGCTTGATCCCACGCTACAGGAAATCACGCTTGTTCCCACGCTACAGGAAATCACGCTTGATCCCACGCTACAGGAAATCATGCTTGATCCCACGCTACAGGAAATCATTCTTGATCCCACGCTACAGGAAATCATGCTTGATACCACGCTAGAGGAATCATGCTTGATCCCAGGCAGCAGGAAATCATGTTTGATCCCACGCTACAGGAAATCACGCTTGATCCCACGCTACAGGAAGTCATGCTTGCTCCCACACTACAGGAAATCATGCTTGATCCCACACTACAGGAAGTCATGCTTGATCCCACGCTACAGGAAATCATGCTTGATCCCACGCTACAGGAAATCATGCTTGATACCACGCTACAGGAAATCATGTTTGATACCACGCTAGAGGAATCATGCTTGATCCCAGGCAGCAGGAAATCATGTTTGATCCCACGCTACAGGAAATCACGCTTGATCCCACGCTACAGGAAGTCATGCTTGCTCCCACACTACAGGAAATCATGCTTGATCCCACACTACAGGAAGTCATGCTTGATCCCACGCTACAGGAAATCATGCTTGATACCACGCTACAGGAAATCATGCTTGATCCCACGCTACAGGAAATCATGCTTGATCCCACGCTACAGGAAATCATGCTTGATCCCACGCTACAGGAAATCATGCTTGATACCATGCAGCAGGAAATCATGTTTGATTCCACACTACAGGAAATCATGTGAAGAGAAGAAGCCAGTACTGAATACTGTAGGCAAGTTTTTAGAAAAGGCACTGTACAACTTACTGCACACCAGTAGGATTATTGTTCCCGGAGTTGGGCTTTAATGGGAATGCTAACTGTTACTTTAAACAAGTGGTTATCAAACTTCATGTGACACTGCACTCAGGAGTTCAATCTTAAAAATACATTCAAGTATCTTAACTACTAATAAAAATTCATCTGATTTCTGTATCACTCGGCTGTAGATCCTCCAATCATCTCTGAATTGGTGCTGACACTTGTCTTTGTTCTGGAAGGCGGCTGGCTACTTTTGTTCCCCATGGTCCCTGTGTGTGTTGTAAAGTAGTCACCGCTCCAAGCTCACTCCTGTGATAGACTACAATCTCGTGTTTAGTTTACTAATTTGTAGTGAGATTGTAGTCCATTCCAGGAGCGAGCTTGGAGTGATGACTACTTTACAACACGCACAGGGACTATGGGGAACAAAAGTAGCCCCCCTCCAGAAGGAAGGACAGTGTCAGAACCAATTCAGAGATGATTGGAGGATCTACAGCCGAGTAATACACAAATAAGATAAATTTGTATTAATAGTTAAGATACTTGAATGTATTTTTAAGATTTAACGCCTGAGTTTAGTGTCAGCACTACATGAACCTTGCTGAAAGTCTGCTGACGCATCCGCCACACATTATTCTTTGTTATTTTGTTGCAGAGTAGTGTTGATACTTAAAGTGACATTAAAGTCAAAAAAATGTTTCCCTCCCCCCAATGTTAATGTCAGCACTTACCTTAAATGAGGTTTCTTAATCCGATCTTCCTCTTCTTTCCTGATGTTTTCATCTGTCACTCCAGCGGTGCGGTGGATCTCCGATCCAGCGCTGACTCCTCCCTGCTTGCAGGCACTTCCGATCACGCGGTGTCTGCAAGCGGGTGCACGCGTCCATAGACTTACCTTGCGTCTCTGCTCGTTTCCCGCCCGAAAATCCGAACTGCACATGCGCCCGCCCCAAGATGCTTTGCGGCCGCCCGAGCAGTTTCGGATTCTCGGGCGGGAGCGCACAACAAAACAGGGTAAGTTTAAACCGCTGTTAAAGCCTTTTTTTAAAAAAAACGTTTTGCCTAAATCTACTGCTTGCTAGCAGTAGAGATAGGCAAACAAAACAGAGGCTTTAGAACCCCTTTACCTTCTATTTATTTTTCCACATAAATAGGACTTTACAAATATTCTTTAAGATTGCTTTTTTTTTTTTCTAACAAAAGACTTGCCGGTGCTCTGTGTGAGTCTGCTGCAGTGTTGTCCTTTGTCATTCACGACTGTCACCTCTTCTGCTGCCCTTCATAAAATATTAATTCAAGCTGAACTGCAGACAAACAGCTACATTCACTGAGGATTCACTTAATATGAGAGTTTGTTATTATTATTAATAATATGTGAATACATGGAAACATGTGAACTCTTCTAATTGGCAAAAGATTTGTAATATTGTTCAGTAAGGACCCATTCCCTGCAATCTGACCTTGTTTCATGTTACACCCTAAACATGGGGTATATAAATCAATATGTTAGGGTTGCATTGCCTTAGTGCATTGGGTGCCATTAAAAATGAATGTGCCTATACGCTGCAATGCAAACATGTAATTCAACCCTATATGTTCTTGGCCACACTGATGAGCTGATCACTCTGCTTTCTCCTTATATCAGTGAGCTCTTAGTGCTAAGTTGACAGGTTGATTGTTGTAGGGGGTTACCGAATGCTGATGTAAAGACAGATTCAAGCCCTCATACTGGCTGAATTTAAAAATTTATTTAATGATGTTTAGTAAATGAATAACCGAATCATGATGTTTTATATCCTAAAATTGAGTTTCAAGGAGCAGGTGGATGAGGCATGGTGCTGTGATGACTTACATAATATACATGTAATGGTTAATGCACACTTCCATTGACTTTTGATAAAACATTTGACCAAAATGCAAATCAATCTGTAAATTGGTTGCCTAAATATAATGTATTGTAATCCTTATACATTTTAGTTGAAGGATAATTGTCAATTGTTGGTTGTGTCCCCGGTGGGAGTTGAATACAGGAGTGAGTGCTGTAAGTGTGGATGAAGTGGTTATATTTAACTTTTTTTTCCCCCAGCATACAAATAAGATTGAGGAAGTTCGCATAAAGCCCATTTCAGCTCGTGCCAAGGCCAGCCTCCCTGTTACTGAAGGCATAGTGGAGGTGAAGCATCATGGCCGATGGAGGCAGATATGTGACCAAGGCTGGACTCTTGACAACAGCAGAGTCATCTGTGGAATGTTGGGCTTTCCTGGAGAGATTCAACCCAATGAAAAGTTTTACAGGTAATTCTGCATACCTCTGGTATTATTGCCAACTTTTAAATTAAAACTCCAGATCAGTTATAGACATCAGGTAAGATAAAGATGGACTGAGTTCTGTCGAAAGGTTGATGACGATAAAATGCTGATGTGTTTACTTACCTCAACTACAAGACCCATGTGTGCCTTTATACCAGCGTTTCTCAAACTTTGTTCAGTCATGGCACCCTTTAAAAGCATGCAAAAGTTTTAGGCACCCTAGTCTAAAATGTAAAATAGCATAAATGTAAACAATGATGTGCGCCCCGCCCCAAATCCATACCACACCCTTATCCCAGGTAGGGCCCTGGTATGGATTTAATGGGAGACCTCACACAAAAAAAGGGGTTACCCCGTCACATCAAAGCCCCCACCTTTGACATTAGAATTCCACTTTTCATATTCAGGTCTGTCTTTACCCAAGGAGCCCTCCTTTACATTAGGAGCCCATTTAACATCTGGAGACTCATTCTTTCACATCAGACTTCCCTCCTTTGAATCAACATCACCCCTCCCCTTCACATTAGAGTTCCCCCTTCACATAAGGATTCATCTTTACACCAGGAGCCTGCCTGCACCAAGGAAAGGCATGATGCTGTGTGAAAATTTCAAGACACATCCGGGGGAAGTCCTGGCACCCTGGTTGAGAAAGGATGCTCTATACCTACAGTACTTTGGATTTGTATGGCTCGGTTAATGGGTCATATTGGATGAAAGCCAGAATGAAAATTACAGCCATTCAGTACATGTGTCTATGGAATTGGTTTAAATACATTTTTTCGTCCTGTTTGCTTGGTACTTTTATGCTCTTTTTCAGTTTTCGAATACATACGTATGAATTAATGTTTATTTACCCCTCTATATCATCAGCCAGTCACCTAGACCTCCTGCTTTTGCTCATTACTCATAGAGACAGTTCAAAGATGGCATCAAAGGATATCGGAAGTTTTAGACTTCCTCCCCATGGTCCCCTGCAGTTCCTATTAGGGCTTCTTACTTTGGAGTTTGACAGGATTAAATTTACAGTAGACACGAAGCACCACTCTGTAGATGTTGTTCTGTAGGTCAGATGCTTTATGAGGACAGTTTATTATACTCCAAGATTGCACAGCCATATTGAATGCCACGTTCATTGTCCACAATTTAGAAAACCGTGATCAACAGCAAAGCCTAATTACACAGTTTACCTCCCAGGAAAAGCCTGTGGTTGGGAAGCTGGATGGGTGAAAAGAATATGTTTAATTCTCAGATGAGATAAACATGCTATTCCTATGAGCACTCCTATGTAATTTACTCTGCTCCTGCTATTACATAAACAACAAAACCTTTTTCTGGAAAGCTGCATGTTTGTTGGAATGCCATTCGTGTGTTTTTGTTACCACGTTCCTTTCACCTGCTAAACACTGGGAACCAAATGTATCAAGATAGATTGGTTGACATTCCTGGTTTGAGAGCTACTCAAAGCACTTATCCTTTAGGCAGTTACCAATCCTCTTGTCCAGTTTATACAGTATTAGGCACAGCATGCGTATGAAGCAGGTGGTTTTAAATTGCTTTAGCAGCACTTGGTGATCCCCAAAACTCAAGGGTTCTCCATTATGCAAATATTGACTTATCCCGGTCCCCTTCATGATGGTCGGTCTTGCTGTTCAATTGTAGGTGCAGGAGGCAGAAGTGGGTGGGACCGAGCTTGAAAACTATGTGAAAATACCTGTAGGGAGTGGCTTTCCATATATGCTGCCCTTTTGGTGCGATGGCAGGCTCTCTGCTACAGCAAAATTAGATTGGGTAGTGTCAGAGAAGTGTTGCTCGTATATGTGCTGCATTTTCCTGCACATGCGCGCACGCATATGAGACATTCTAATGGAAGGATTTCTCGTACTTGTGAGCGTGCGTGCAAATGCAGATGCACGTGCACGAGCACCTATTTGAACATTGGTGCCAGACGGCTTATTTAAGGAGGAGCTTTGTACCTTTTCCTTGCTGAGAGTTCTTCAGCTGTGTTTCCTGATTCTGTTTGTTCCTGATATTGACCTGGCGTGCTCCTGACCCTGCTTCTGTTTGCTGATTTTGTACCTCGCTGCCCGCTTGATCGTGACCCAGTTTGTTCCTTACTTCGGCTCTGCTCTGCACCGGTGCCACCTTTACCCATTGCTGACTTCACCTCCCAGGAAGTGACTGCCATCATCTTCCTTCAGACTGGTCCACTACATCTCAGCTCCGGGTGTATCCACTTCATCAGGCAATCGTGCCCCTCTTCCGTCTCTACACCATCTGTCCACCATTACCAGGGGTGTTTGGACAAGAGAAGCAAGGGAGGCCGCCCTCCTCATCTCAGGCTCTTACCAGATACGGGACAGGTTGATTTAGAAAACTGCACCATCACTACGCTTTTCCGTGCCTTACTGAATAAAACTGTATGAGGATATTTCCAAACAGTACTAAACCGGTTGATTGAGAGTGTTGGTTGCTTTATTGCTGGATAATAGGGAGTTTGCTGGATTTACTTTTTACCCCACTCCAAAGAGCTTCACTGTGCAAGCTCTGCTGAGCTCCACTCCGCACATGCATCAATAACTCTTGGCTGCCCATGACCGTTTCACTCTTTTCCTTCCTTGGACCACTTTCGGTAGGCCTTGACCACTGCAGACCAGGAACATCCCACAAGAGCTCTAGTTTTGGAGTTGCTCTGACCCAGTTGTCAAGCCATCACAATTTGGCCCTTGTCAAAGTCGCTCTAATCCTTACACTTGCCCATTTTTTTCTGCTTCCATCACATAAGCTTCAGGGACAAAATGTTCACTTGCTGCCTAATATATCCCCCCCACTTCCAGTTGCCATTGTAATATACCCCCCCCTCCCCCCACTTCCAGGAGCCATTGTAACTGGATAATCAATGTTATTCACTTCACCTCTCAGTGGTGATAATGTTATAGCTAATCAATGTATATTCCACAATGTCATCAACCAGCATGCAACATTGAAGGAGGTGGGCACATACACTGAATATTTAGGGTTGTCCAGATAACCAGTTGCTGCAAAAAAGGTCTAATTTCTACAATAAAACAGGCTTTTCAACTCCTTCTGCTAAACTTTTTTTATATTAAAAAGCAGATGAGAAAGAGGTGGAGAGACACTGAAAAAGCTGAATAGAAAGAATCACAGCAGGCTTATAGACTCATATTATAGAAGTTCATGGACAAACTTACCAATCTATGTGTTCTTCATAAAGCCTCTGTTAAACTGTTAAGGATGGCAAAAAGTGCATGTTTGTTCCAAAAAGTCTTGCTATCCACCACACATTCTATAATTTGCTATAGTCTCGCCCTTTGAGGCAGGGATGCTGGACACAGATAATCTACAGTTAAAAACCAAACTGGCTCTAAAGTGGTGTGATTTGTATCATTGGGGTGTAGGGACCTCTCAGTTTAAACTCTTCTGGGTCCTGGAGTAATGCTAATGTTACTACCAATTATAAAATGCTGCCAAATATATATTTAAGATAACAACAAATCAAAAAAAGTACATGTAGCGCCCTGGTGGAAAGGGTGCTATTAAATCTAGTGTCAGATTGTATGTGGTCTGATACTAATTTGTAGTTTGGTTCATGTGATTTTCCCCTAAACATTCTATCATTGCTTGTCATCTGTCTGCTGCCAGAGGTGCTGCAGGGTGTGCCCTGGGGATAGAACAGAGCAGCCAATGGGATTGCTATGGAGTAGGTATCCCTCCCTAACCAATCATTGTTGAATGATAGCCAATGGTGCATGCTGGGGGAAGAGATAAATACTCGGGGTGGGCCATGTGAGTGCTCTTTTCGGCTGTGCAGGACCTAAGCGGACCAGGCCTCAAAGCCTGAAGACTTGCTATGGAATCACCCTGGAGCCTGGTGGGAGCAGGTCCAGTGGTTGCTACTGCTAAAGACAAGGATCAATAACTTCTACCTTAAGTAATGCTGTGTCAGGAGTTCAACCTGCTGTGCATGGAAGCAGTAACCACACTCTCTCTGAAAGCTATGGAGTCTACATATGCCTGGATGATCCTAACCCTGCCTGGAGGGTGGTAAGTGCTGATAGGAAGAGCGAGTGACACTATCCCTAAACAAAAAGAATCTGAGCTGTCGTAACACATAGCAACCGACCCTAATTACTCAAGGTGTGTGGGTGTGGATCCATTGTAGAGGTCTCTTATAGAGGAAAGACTGGGAGACCCGTTAGTTCAGTTTACTGTAGATAACCCCTTCAGAGCCACCGGTAGTGTTATCCTATATTGGGATAGCGCTGACCGGGAAGGGGGAGCACTACATACATTTATAATGAAGTACTTAGAAGCAGGCAATATAAGAACATGCAATGTTCTGAGTTCTTCCAAAAAAAAGAGCTGGAAGTTGATTCAAAGGCTTTAATCTTATGATGGTAATTAAACTCCTTTCTGCATTTTGTACAGTCTTGTGATATGAATACAGCTAGACTCTGCTCACAGCAAGACCTTTTCTCCAGCCTGTGGAAGGAGCACCTTGTGACAAAAACATAGCTAAAAAAAAGTGCCTGACCTGACCCTACGTTGTTAGAAAAAGCAAAATTCAGGAACACTTTGGAGTCCTCCTGAGCCGCTTTCATCTTTATCACCCTACTTTCCACTCTCCTCTGCTATTTTCTGATTCTTTTTGTTTTATTAATGTACCGCTTTTACTGCATACTTAAAGGAAACTTTCTCTAAAGGGCATCTATGGTCAAAAACTAAAAATAAATCTGTATTTCTATATTGAATTTCTATAAGTTCTATCCTTCTTGTAATAACCATATTCATCTAGAAGATTGTGAACTTACTTATTGAAGATGCCCATAGGATGCACTTCCCCAATGCACTGACACCAGTTCACTCAGCCCTGTGAATATACACTTCCTTGTGTCACCTCTCTTACTAAATCTGCCACCTGAAGTACATCTGAGCCAATGTAACATTATCATTGCTTGCTGGAAGCA